TTATCATAATTTATTATTATTTGCTTTTGGGGTCACATCTGGCAATACTCAGGGGTTACTCCTGGCTCTGCACTCAGGAATTACTTCTGGCGGTGCTTGGGGGACCATATAGGATGCTGGGGATTGAACTTGGGTCGGCCGTGTGCAAGGCAAATACCCTACCCACTGTACTATTGCTCCAACCCCAAAGAAGCTTTTTAGATCCTTTAACAAAGATGGGTGGGTCCACATTTCTTTATTATGTCCCAAGGCATCAGAAAGTGGCCTTAAAGTGGGAGAGCATGCTGAATGTTTCTCTTTTGATCGGTTCCAGTGGGGCCTAAAGCATCCAGGTTATCAGGCACCACCTAGGCTACCCTTGTAACATTCCCTGATTCCCCTTCTCTAGGACCGTATCCCTAAACTCACCCTGCCTGTCCCCCTTGTCCCCATTACTGTAAACATCTACATGGCCTGCACTCTGACATCCCGCCAGTTCCACAAGGCAGCCACCAAAGCTGCACCTTGTCTAGTTGCTCTGTACGATGTGGGAGATGATGCCTGCCATCCAATATCTTGGGGGGCCTTGAGTCAGGCTGAAGTTGATGGGCCCCCACGAGTCACTTAAGTGAGGCAGAGAGGAGAGAGATGGCCACTTTCTCCTGATCCACCCCTGCCACCCTGGGACTTGCTGGGAAGTCAAGGACTTCAGTGAACCCCTGCTTGGGACTGACCAGAGTCTCGTGTGCCCCAGTAGGTGGATATCAAGTGACATCTGATGACCATTTGACCTTCATAGCATGGAAGTTGATCCCTACCACCCAATTTTTCAGGAAGCCGTGAACTCAATGCTAGAGCAAGGAATTGCTGTTTGCAGAGAAGGACAGTCAGTGCTAGGCCTTACCCAGGGTTTCCAGGTCTTTGTTCTTCTCACAGAAAAGAATTTTAGGAGTTATGTGAACCAAAAGTGTTGAGATCCTTTGGCTTTCAAGACCAGATTTTACATGAATAAATTCTTCAGTTTGCTTTGGTCTGGAATGGTCTGGAGTTTTCTGCTGACAGGGCCATTAGGGTTAGTCAGATTAAAGGCTAGGCTGTGAAGGTTAATCAGATTAAAGGAAGGAATTGGGAACTCTTTAAGAATTTCGGGCTGGAGCGATAGCACAGTGAGTAGGGCATTTGCCTTGCACACAGCAGACCAAGGTTCTATTCCTCTGCCCCTCTCGGAGAGCCTGGCAAGAGTACTATAAGTACTATTTAATTACTGAGATTTATGAGTTCTTTATTGGGCTGGAGCGATAGCACAGCGGGTAGGGCGTTCACCTTACAAGCGGCCAACATGGCCGACCCGAGTTCGATTCCTCCGCCCCTCTCAGAGAGCCCGGCAAGCTACCGAGAGTATTCGATATGCCAGACACAGTAACAACAAAGTCTCCAATGGAGACGTTACTGGGCCCGCTCGAGCAAATCGACGATCAACGGGAGGGCCTTTACCTTTACCTTTACCTTTAAGAATTCCCTTCAAGTCCTTGTTCAGGTCCTTATCACAGTCTTTGTCTCTGCTGTGGTTGGTCCTTACTGTTGGGAGGGGTCTAGTCTGCTGATGGGGAAGGTCTTATCAGGTCTTGGTTCCTGTGTCCACAAGGTGGGTCCCACAGAGTGACATCCATAGGACTAGAGGTTTTATTACTTCCCAAGAATTCCATTGCCATATGGAGGCATTTTCCTGTCTTGTCGGCCTGCCTACATCAGTTTCTCCAGTATGCTTACATCTTTCCCTTCACCCACCTGTCAGTTGCCCTCATCTCTTTTGCCCAGGTACTTTCTGCTTCTCTGGGTATCTCCTACCCCTCTCATTTGCCTTTCCGACTTGTCACACCTAATTGGTGTGCTTGCCCAGGCCATGGGTATGCAAGCTCTGTTTCCCCAGTGGGTCACTTATAGCCATGTGCAAATCCAGATTGCTTCGGCCTTCTGCATGATAGCACATTTTCTTAGCTCCTAATGGAGACGTTACTGGGCCTGCTTGAGAAAATCGATGAACAACGGGAGGACAGTGACAGTGACAGTGAATGCTGTTCTAATCCTGACTCCTGCCCTCTCCCATCTGAATCACATCACAGCATCTTAACCTCTCAGATCTTCTCTCAGCTGTCTGAAGTATTCTCTACACGTTAGCCAGAGAGATCTTCCTCTGTTTACTTACATTTTGTTTTGGCTTGGGGGCAACACCTACGGTGCTCAAGGATTACTCACAGGCTCTGTTCTTTTTTTTTTAAATTAATTAATTAAAATTAATGGAGCGATAGCACAGCGGTAAGGCATTTGCCTTGCACGCAGCCAACATGGCTGACCCAAGTTCGATGCCTCCGCCCCTCTCGGAGAGCCCGGCAAGCTACCGAGAGTATCTCGCCCACACAGCAGAGCCTGGCAAGCCACCCGTGATGTATTCGATATGCCAAACACAGTAACAACAAAGTCTCCAATGGAGACGTTACTGGGCCCGCTCGAGCAAATCGATGAACAACGGGAGGGCCTTATTTCATTTTTATAGAATTACAAAGTAGTTCACAATATCTGATTGCATTTAATATTTGAACACCAATCCTACCACCATCACACATTCCCACCACCATATTTTGGATGTTTCCATTCCAAATCCCCAACCCCTGCCCCAAAGCAGAACCGAAATAACTTATTGTGTATTATTTGTCATGAATAAACAGCTGAAAATGCTCAAAAAAAAAAAAACCCACCTCTTTCCATAGAGGAGAGTGTGTGAAGATTGTTGTATTTCACCCAGGGGCCCTTCAGCCCTTCTACAAGAGATTACTAATATGTTGTTAAGGGTTGAGCCTTGTGTGCTGTAAAAATATATTTTCCTCTAAGATTGGTTGCCTTCTACTTTAAACCCCGTCACATGTGGTGCGCTGCTCTTGGAGTAGGAGTGGTGTGAGATATGAGATGTTGAGAGGCTAAGTGGTCCAGGAGAGGTTTACTTATGGGTGAGGCTCGGCCTAAGCAAATGGAGAGCAGCCAGGAGCATGGTGGAAGTTGAGTTCTGGAGGTTTTTGGCTGGGTGCCTTGGGGGTGGGGATGGGCCTCACTTGCCCCCCTTCCGGGGTGCCCTGAGTGAAAAAGCCTGGCGCAGGGTCCGGTGACATGGCTATGACACTGTTGTGTTATGCTCTCTTCAGAGAGAAAAGGACAATGAGCCTCTGGATTATGACTGTTGAGGAGACTTTCTGCCTCCAGCCAGAGGTGGCTTGTGGGTAGGACTGCCAAGATGCCGGAAACGTGGGGGGACATGGGGGGAGGTCAACCATTCCCCGTTCAGTTGAACCTGGTAGGCTCTGTGTTTGTTACTTGCTCCTGATGGTGCTTGGGGCCTCCCACAATGTTAGGAATCAAACCCTGGCCTCCTGCAAGCAGGGCAAGCCCTCAGCCCCTTGAGATGCCTCTTTGACTCCCCAGAGAGATATCTTTTATCTATCTATCTATCTATCTATCTATCTATCTATCTATCTATCTATTTTTGGGTCACATCAGTGATGCTCAGGGGTTACTCCTGGCCCTGCACTCAGAAATTACTCCTGACGGTGCTTGAGGGACCATATGGGATGCTGGGAATCGAACCCAAGTTGGCCACGTGCAAGGCAAATGCCCTACCCATTGTACTATTGCTCCAGCCCCCGAGAGAGATCTTTTAAAACGCCTTCCTCTCCATGTCACCTCACTGTTCTGCTAAAATACTTTCCAAAACTTATCTTGTTCTCAGCAGCAAAGGTAACAGTTGAAGGTCATTAGAAGGAGGTGTGCAAAGGCATCCATGCACTCATGCCTCCTCTCCAACTGCTCTGCCCTGTCTGGCTAATGCCTTCCTTCTAATACACCCAGCTTCCTCTCACCCCAGGGCCGGTGCCCTGTTATTTCCTTTGCCTGAAATGTGTTCTGTTCTCTTGGCCTAAAGCCCAGCCAACCCCTCTGTCACATGGTCTATATAGATGGAGCCTACTCCAACTAGTTCTCATGGTTGCCGGAAGTCGCTCTCATAAGGCGTTTATCACCCTTTAAAATTACATACTCACATGGTCACTCATTAATGCCTCTCCCTCTCTAGATTCTAGAGACCACGTCTGTGTTGCGCATCATTTTATTGAGTCTTGTGATTAACCTGGGGCTAGCGCTGCATACATATTATTAGCTGGAGACAACAGGCCCAGCAGGATCCTACCTGTCCAGACCCACACAAGGGCACCAGGATGGGGTGTGTGCATATCCCAGGTCTGAAGCCTGCCACTCTTTATTCTCTGTGAACCTCAGCACAGATTTTACTCCATCAGGGGTAAACCACCAAACAAGCAGACCAAACAGGGCAACTGAATTCCTTAATCAACATCTGTATTATTTATGGAAAGAAATGGATGTGCATAGTTATTAGTTATTACTAAGCTTTTGATTTTGTAAGGAATTCGATAGTATCATATGCCACCCTACTCTAAATTTATTGTTTCCTTGAATTCAGAGCAAGGACAAGCTATATCTCTTCACATTGGTTGTTTTCTTATCAGTCACCTCAAAATTCTATTTCTTACTGGCATCCTTCTGCTCACGTATCTAGTGGCATCTGTGCTCTGCTTTTAAACATTTATTTGTTTGCTTTTTGAGCCATATCTAGAGGTGCGGTGGGGTTTACTCTTGGCTCTGTGCTCAGGAATCACTCCTGGAGAAGCTCAGGGAGACTATATAGGTGCTTAGAATCAAACCTGGGACAACCATGTACAAGACGAATGTCCTACCTGCTTTATTATCTCTTTGACCTCATCTTTTAAAAGTGATATATTGTGTTATTCTTATCCATTAAAGACAAATTAGACCTTTTTAGTTAAATAGATATACCTATTACATTATTTATTGTAGAGCTTGCTCTTTATTTCTATGTTGCATACACAAAATATTTATGTTAGACATAGTTTGTATTGAAAATACCTTAGACTCCCCCATTTTTTTTTGTACCATAGTAATAATCCATATTCCTCATTTGGAGCAACTCTGGCAAGAGATGATGAGAAGAATTTGTGGAGCATGCCTCACGACGTGTCCCACACGGAGGCAGATGACGACCGAGTCCTGTACAATTTAATTGTTGTTCGCAACCAACAGGCCAAAGACTCAGAGGTGAGCATGTTTTGAGATCTGATGTGTGCAGCTGACAACGTCTGGCCCAAACCAGCCATCGCTGAGAAAAGCAGTTTGACATAAAAGAGTGAAACAGGGGATGTTTGGAATGATGGGCTGGTATTTGAGCAAAATTGCTATTTGCAGTTGGTCTTTGGAGTTGTCGCTAAAGAGACAAAACTAATTTCTAAATGTTATCTTAAATGGCTAACCAGCCCATCTGTCATCTCTTCAAGTTGTTTAAGAAGGCACAGTTACATGGAGTGAGGCACTCACTAATGGTGGAGATGGTTGTTCTTTACTAGATTACAGTTAAATACCTGGCCATCAGTCATCACAAATTGACTTTTCTTGATTTTTTTTCTGATAATTCTATGTACCATGTCTTTAAATTTTATCTGAACAAGTAATATGAAATAAATTTGTTATTTGCTTGCAAAGGGGCAGGCTAGGAAGTGATGGTGGTGGTGGGGGGGAGGGAACCTGGGGATATTGGAGGAGGGAAGAGGAATTTGGTGGTGTTGGGACCATTATATGCCTGAGACAACTTTATTGTGAACAACATTGTGAATTACAGTATCTTAATAAAAATAAAAATCTTTTAAAAAAGGAGAAGTCACAGGTAGAAGATTCAAATGGCAAATTGGAGGTCACTTTGCTTTATCACTCATTCTGAATTAGTGGGGCTTGCATTCATTTTCTTTTTTTTTTATGTTTAAAGTTTCTTAAGCTGCATATTTTGTTCAGACTGTGATTTCTATTCCATACTCGATAATTTTTGTGAGAAGGCTTGAAATCACTTTGAATGGAGTCTTTAGCCAAAGTTACAGATGTGGGAATGCTAGAATATTAAAAAAGAAGATGGCTTAATAAGAGAAAATAACAAAGGAAATCCTAATTCATTTCTTCCTCCGTTCTCTCAAAAGTAACATTGTAGTACCATATGTAATACAAAACATTGTACTATTATGACCATTATTTCCCAAATAATACAACTGAGTTTTTTGTAAATTTTTCTTCAACAGTTAACTCTGAACAGGTATCTTAAATATATCTGACATGTTCTTTTGTAGCACAGAGTAATTGAGAAGAGGGTGTTTAAAACCCTAGACTCTGGCTCAGAAGGAACAGCCTATGTAGTCAGGGACTTAGAAGAGGTCTATTAAGCATTTGACACTTGTGTTATCTATATAATATATATATATTTTTACACCTAGGTACTTAATTTAGTTAAACATAAGACTATTACTTATCTAGGTGCTTTAAATTTGTGTTAAATAATTGACAGTGACTTCTTTGCCAAAAAAGCTGCTTCTTAGAAGGTGACAATTTTTTTTCTTTCTTTCTTTTCCTTTTTTTTTTGGGGGGGGGGGTCACACCCAGCAATGCACAAGGGTTAGTCCTGGCCCTGAACTAAGGAATTAACTCCTGGTAGTGTGGTTGGGGGACTGTATGGGATGCTGTGGATTGAACCCAGGTCAGCCCATGCAAAGCAGACACCTTACTCACTCTACTACTGCTTTGGTCCCATCTTTTCAAAGAGCTCTTTGTCCTGGTCTTTGATGCTGTTGTGTGATAGAATCAATGTTGAGGCAGGTGATAGCTGGCATGGAGATGGGAACCCCCAGGAGAGAGACCAGCTGACAGTTGTCTGTGGTCCTTTAAACCTGGGAGGGGCTGGCCTAGAGGGCCACAGTGGATGTTGATGAGGGTATCACAGGGTTTAGCCCAAAGGAAAACCATCTTGCTCCTGACCTACACCCTCTGATCTCTGGCCTCCCATGTCCCCAGCACAATTACTTCCTCCATTTGTAACACTTAAGTCACATCACAAAACCCGCTCCAACCAAGAGCAGCTCGTGCAGACTGCCCTTCCCCAGCACAGAGACACAAACATGTGACCCTTTTAGGCCTTTTTGGGGGAAAGAATCAGTCTTCATCCTGTTGGATTCAGTTCATCCAATGGGGTTTCTGCAGGTGAGAATGGATCCAGTTCTTTTTTTCTTGCCTATCTTCCCCTCTCAGAGGCTGTAACAGCAAGAGGGAAACACTATCCAGTGCACAAAAAATAACCTTCCTTTCACTTTTTGTCCCTCTCTTGCTCTCCTGGGCCTCACACAAACGTGAAAGTGGTTCGAAGGGGTATTTGGATCTGAGCCGGCAGCTCTGTGGAGAAGCTCCTGCTTCTTCATCCTGTTTGTCTCCACTTTTGAAAGGACAGTAGAGGAGGCAATATGAGCTACCAAAGATTTGAAAAAGCCCAGTGCCCACAGTGGCCCCCTGGGTCTGTTCTCCGCTGCTTCTGACTCTTGCAAAGGGGCATCCAGGTGCCTTTTCTTTTCCTGCCTAGAGAATGGAGTCAGGTTAACTGTTGAGGATCTCTGGGTCAAAGACAGGAGAGCCAATACATTACATAGCGATGTTATGATAATTATAGAGAAACTGATTTGAAATACCTATTCATGCTGCTTCCTTTTGAGGGGGTGGTGCTTAGGGGCTGTTTCTGGCTCTGAGTTTAGGAGTGATGTCTTGTAATGTTTGGGGGGCCAAATTTGGTGCTGGGGATCAAACCAGGGTCACAGCTGAAAGCAGTTGCATGCAAAGTGAGTGACTTTTTCTTTTTCAATGTTATCTCTCTGGCCATGATGCTTTATTCATATAAGTATAAAATATAAACATACACATGAAAGTATCCAACATGTATATTTATGTGCATGTAAGTAATATTCATATGCAGTTAAATGTTTATGTCTTCAAAAAAACATGAAAAACATATCCAAGCACATTATTATATTAATTTTCCACAGACTGGATCATATATTATCTGTGTTCTTGCATTTTTCCACTTACCATATTATATTTCTGGGGCCAGAGAGATAACTCAATGTACTGAGTTTATGCTTTGCCTGCAAGGGCTTGGGGTTTTTTTTTTTTCTTTTTTATTAGTGAAATACCGCAAAGGCTTGGGTTTTGTCCCTGGCAGCAGATGGTTCCCTGAGCACTGTCAGAAGTGACCCTTGAATGCAGAGCAGAAGTAGACTCTGAGCACTGCTATTTGTGAACCCCCAAATAAAAAAATATGCCTTCTATTTCAACATGCTAGATTTTTTTCCTCATTCCAAATAGTTTATAAAACTAATTAAAGTATACATAGAGTAATATTTTCCTCCATGAATTCCTGCTCTGAATTTCATAACTACATGACTCTGTGCATACATAAGTGGAAGAGAAAGTTTATTTAAGGTTGTGTAGCCTACAAAGGCATAGCTATAGTAACCAGGAGAATCACATGAAATGGAGAACTAGAAGCAAGGTTTTTAACAACATGCTAGATTTACGTGATAGGTTTTTGGTGGTTCACTAATATTGTCTTGGATGGGCTTACCATCATTCACTCAACCATTCACTGCTGATGTTTTGGTTGACTTGGGTGCTTGGGTATCAGTGGTAATATACAGTGGATATGAACATATGCTGCATAATCTTCCATCTGTGTCAGGTGAAGACTTGCTGGCTCAAAGATAGCTGCATTTAGGATGTTGGAAATACCAGGATCCTTCCTTATTGGAAGATACGGAAAGTAGCTCAGAGTCTGGAGTAGAATGGCATTGGAATATCATATACTGTGTAAGGAGGGCTGCTGTGGAACCCCAGAGAACAGTTTGCACTGCTGAGAAGGTGAACCCAGAAGTGCCCGAACATGTTTTTCTTTCCTTGTTTTTTTTGGGGGGAAGTAGGGGGAGACATGCACAGCAGTGCCCAGGAGCTACATCTGGCTGTGTGCTCAGGGAAAATTGCTCAGGTGCTCAGGGCACCGTATGGTGAGAGGGGCAGAAGAACCTAGGCAAGAGCAAGGGAACTTAGTTATTTTTACATGATGTAATTTAGAAGCACAAGTAAGGTATTATGAGAACTGAATGCTGGGGTACTTACAGGTAACCCCAGAGTACTTACTGATATTCTTTTTGAGGCTGGAAAGACAAACAAACAAAAACAAACAAACAAAAATATATTAATAAACCATGAAGTGTGCCTGGTTAAGGATTTGTTTGCTCTTCCTACTTCCTGGGACTCCCTGCTGGCAGAGTGTTGCCAGGTGGTGTAAACAGTTCCTTTAAAATGTTTAAAATAGCAACAGCCCTTCCCAGGGGTTGTTTGCTGTAGCAGAGTATTAGACCTGTGGCTATTGGATCTCCCTGTGCTAAATCAGAGACAGGACAGAGCTGAGCTGAGTGGAATGATGATCACAGATGTAAGGAAGTGGCAGATTGGGATGAAATGATCAGGAACCAGCCACAGAACGGAGACACTTAGAGATGGAGAAATAGTCCAGTTCAACTCTTGGTTACCTTCCACACAGGTCTGGACTAGGCCTACTCTTGTAAACCATCTGATTTCTCTACAAATGAGTGAACATTGACTGCTTTTCTGGTGGGACCATAGCAGCAAGTTTCCATGGCATGAAGGCATAAAGTAGATGAGGGAAACTGAAACAATTCTCCAGATCACTGAAGGATTCTTAAAAAAGGTCTTTTTCTTGGTTCTCCAAAAGGATGTGAATTGTTGAATGTAACTTTCTTCCTCCTCCTCCTCCTCCTCCTCCTTCTTCTTCCTCTTCCTCTTCCTCTTCCTCTTCCTCTTCCTCTTCCTTCTTCCTCTTCTTCCTCCTCCTCCTCCTCTTCCTCCTCTTCCTCCTCCTCTTCCTCCTCTTCCTCCTCCTCCTCCTTCCTCTTCTTCCTCCTCCTCCTCCTCCTTCTTCCTCTTCCTCCTCCTTCTTCCTCTTCCTCCTCCTTCTTCCTCTTCCTCTTCCTCCTCCTCCTCTTCCTTCTTCTTCTTCTTCCCTCTTCCTCCTCCTCCTCCTCTTCCTCCTCCTCCTCCTCCTCCTCCTCCTTCTAATTTTACTTTGCTTGTGGCTTTGCGGGTCAGGAGGGCAGAGAATAAAAATGCATCCTTGGATCTTAGAATTTAGTGTGCTTTAGCCTCGGTTTTCTGGGCAATTA